TGGTAAATATATATATGTATATATTTGAGACAGAGTTTTGCTCTGTCACCCAGGCTGGAGTGCAGTGGCGCAATCTCAGCTCACTGCAACCTCCGCCTCCCAGGTTCAAGTAATTCTGCCTCAGCCTCCTGAGTAGCTGGGATTACAGGCACGTGCCACCACACCCAGTTAGTTTTGTATTTTTGGTAGAGATGGGCGTTTCACCATGTTGGTCAGGCTGGTCCCGAACTCCTGGCCTTAAATGATCTGCCCACCTTAACCTCCCAAAGTGCTGGGATTACAGGCGCGTGAGCTACCGTGCCTGGCCAACTCTTGGTAAATAGGCAAGTTCAGATCTGGAATAAAAATCAGCCCAGACAGAGCTTTAACCTTCCTAATCAAAACCACATTTGGCTGGCCAGGCACAGTGGCTCATGCCTGTAATCCCAGCACTTTGGGAGGCTGAGGCGGGTAGATCACGAGGTCAGGAGTTCGAGACCAGCCTGGCAAGCATGGTGAAACTCCGTCTCTACCAAAAATACAAAAAATTAGCCAGGCTTGGTGGCACATGCCTGTAATCCCAGCTACTCAGGAGGCTGAGTAGAGGAGAATTACTTGAACCTGGGAGGCGGAAGTTGCAGTGAGCTGAGATCACGCCACTGTGCTCCAGCCTGGGTGACAGAGCTAGACTTCGTCTCAAAGTAAATAAATAAATAAGCCACATTTGGTCAACAAAGATTTTTTGATCCCCAAGTCCCAACTATGTGCCTGGTGTAGGGGAGCAAAAAATGGTTTCCCTCTACCCTTCTAGGTTCTTTGGGATACATATTAAATTGACATAAGGCAGATTAACAGAAGAAAAAACTCATTTTAATTATGTAAGTATGCACGGGAGCCCCACAATATATGTGATTCAAAGAAGGGTCAGAGGATTGAAGCTTATATAGCATCCTGAGCTACCGGAAAGAAGCGGGGCTTGGGGCTTCTGGGAAGTGGTGGTGAGACAGGTTATGGGAAGGTGCAGGAAGTGTATGGTGAAGAAAAGTTGTCTTGTTATGCAGATTATGTCTCTTAGATAAGAAAAGTTGTCCCAGAAGAATAGGTCAGGGTGTGGTGCCAACCTTCAGTCTCCTCTCCTGTGATCTGAGTTCATCTTACCTTGATTGAGAAGATTCCTGGGGAGGGGATTCATGACTATGGAGTTCCTTTTGGAGGATCCATGCTTGGGCAGATAAGGGAAAGTCAGAGAAAGTCCTCCCTGCCCTTGCTCTCCCCCAGGTTCCCTTCCTTTGAAGTAATCAGCATATCAAAGGGACATATTTTGGGATGGCATTTCTCAAACTTCTTCCTTTCTCCTGTCTGAAACTTCTCTGGAAGTCCCACTTGCTGCCGGGTGTGGTGGCTCACGCCTGTAATCACAGCACTTTGGGAGGCTGAGACAGGCGGATCACCTGAGGTCAGGAATTCAAGAACAGCCTGTCCAACATGGTGAAACCCTCTCTACTACAAATACAAAAACAATAATTAGCCGGCTGTGGTAGTGCGCACCTGTAGTCCCAGCTACTTGGGAGGCTGAGTCAGGAGAATCACTTGAATGAAGGAGGCAGAGGTTGCTGTGAGTCAAGATTGTGCCAGTGCACTCCAGCCTGGGTAACAGAGCGAGACCCTGTCTCAAAAAAAAAAAAAAAAAAAAAAGAAGTCCCACACACTAAAAGTTGAGTTGGTGGTGGATGAGAGAAATATCAGATTAGTGTCTGTAGTATGAGACCTGGGACTAGGTCAGTCCAATTAAACAGCTCTGTCTCGTTCCAGGAGGTGGTGTGGCAGGTGGGCTCCCATCAAAGTCAGGCCTCTGTATGGCACAAGTGCAAACAGGTATTTAATAAGAGGAAACAAAAGAAAAAGGTTAGTTAATGTTTGGGGCACTCTGCAAACTAGTTTCAGAGCCTGGAGGGCAGCCAGTTGAGATGACTTCTAGATGTTGGGCTCAAAGTATCTTCAGTTGGAGTAGGGGCAGGCAGTGATAATTTGACAGATTTCCTGGTTGCAATTTGCATCGGGGGTTCCAGTGAACTTTCTTTTTCTTTTTTTTTTCAGGTGGTGTTTCACTCTTGTTGTCCAGGCTGGAGTGTGGTGGTGTGATCTTGGCTCACTGCAACCTCTGCCTTCTGGGTTCAAGTGATTCTCCTGCCTCAGCCTCCCAAGTAGCTGGGATCACAGGGATCACCATCATGCATAATTAATTTTTGTGTTTTTAGAGATGAGGTTTTGCCACGTTGCTTAGGCTGGTCTCAAACACTTGACCTCAGGTAATCCTCCCACTTCGGCCTCCCAAAGTGCTGGGATTACAGGCATGAGCCACCACACCTGGCCTCAGTATAATTTTCTGATTAGTTTGTATATTAGTAGGTATGAAGGTGGTCTATACCTTAGTGTCTGTGGGTGATTTCTCTGAAGTCTCTACCAAGTCTTCCAGTTTTACCTTGCAAGCCTTCAGGAAAGGAAGTCTTGGCTAACGCCCTTTTCAGCCTTAGCCCACCTGCACCCAGGTGAATTAAAAAAAAAAGAAAGAAAGGAAGTCTTAATTTCAGTAACTCCAAGTCAGAGGGTGGGAGAAAAACTGGAAATGTCAGTTTGGAGAGTCATAGCCAGACATCTGAGGAAACTGAAAGAATTCAGGATCCAGTCAAGTTTCCAGATAAATAACAAATCCTCCAAAACAATAAACTAGAATCTAATAATGGGTACACTATCGTTTTCCTCTGAAACATAATTTTTCTCTCTATATTCACCCGTTTCTGCCAAACACAATCACAATAAGATCAGTTGCTTGCCAGGAGTGACGGCTCATGCCTGTAACCTCAGTGCCTGGGGAGCCGAGGCAAGGGCAGATTGCTTTAGTCCAGGAGACCAGCCTGGGCAACATGGCAAAACCCCATCTCTAGAAAAAACACACAAAAAAATCAGACGTGGTGATACATGAAATACAAAAAAAATTAGACATGTTGGTGTATGCCTCTAATCCCAGGTACTCAGGAGGCTGACCTCAGAAGGATCATCTGAACCTGGGAGGTGGAGGCTATAGTGAACTGTGATCCTACCACTGTACTCCAGCCTGGGTGACAGAGCAAGACCCTGTTTCAAAAACACAAATCAATCTGTTGCAAAATAAGGTTAGTTTCTTATTAAACATGATCTGATTGTTTATGTAAGAGCAGTAAGAATAATGATTGATCGTATGCTCTTTTTTTTCTTTTCTTTTTCTGAGACAGTCTTGCTCTGCCGCCCAGGCTGCAGTGTAATGGTGTGATAGCAGCTCACTGCAACCTCCGCCTCCCAGGTTCAAGCAATTCTGCTGCCTCAGCCTCCTGAGTAGCTGGGATTACAGGTGCCCACCACCCCACCCAGCTAAATTTTGTATTTTTAGTAGAGACGGGGTGTCACCATGTTGGCCAGGCTGGTCTCGAACTCCTGATCTCGTGATCTGCCGCCTTGGCCTCCCAAAGTGCTAGGAATACAGGCGTGAGCCACCGCGCCCAGCGTAGGATTTTTAAGGCCTTTATGGGCCCAAGTTACAGTATAAAACGTTATATCCCAGATTCACTGGAATATGTACGAGAGCAGGTGGCATTAGTATTTTGCAATCATGAACTAATTTGTAAAAACTGTTTTGTTTACATTAAGAGTTCAAAAGCCAGCGACACAGCGATGATGTTTCCATTTAGCAGATGTGGATACTGAGGCACAGAAAACGGTCAAGACTTCTGCCTACAGTCACCAGAAAGGAGGAAATTCAAATCTGGGGATGCGTGGCTTCAGAGGCAGAGTTCAACCATGGCGAGCACACTGAAAAGGAAACCCCTCCTAACTCCTGCTCCGGGGTCCTTTAAGAGCCTCGGAACCCAGAGTAAAACAAGATCAAGGCGTATTATTTCCCACGGCCAGCGGCTGCCGGGAAATAATCGCCGCCGCGAGTCCCTAGGGAAAGCAGGCGTCGGAGCCCAAGTGCGCCTGCGCAGCCCCATCTCGCCTTCCGCCTCAGGCCTTAGCGAGGCCCACCTCGAACCCACACTGGCCCAAAGTTGTCTAATGTGCGCAGGCGTCCTGCTGTGAACCCGCCTCCTTCCCTGCCCTGCGCTTGCGCTCTCGCTCTCTCCGAGTCTGTCTCCGCTGCTTTGTACGTCACTTCCTGTTTGTGGCGCGAAAGGGCGGTATTTCCGTCCAGAGGGTGGGAGGGGGCAGTAAGCGGGGGCTGGGGGGAGGGGGCGGGGGGGCCGCGCCGCGCGATCTGTTGGATCTGGCTCGGAGGAGGTGTCGCCGCCGCCGCTGGCTTCGTAGCCGCCGCCGGGAAACACAAGGAACGGGAACCAGCGCAGCGTGGCGATGGGCGGGGGTAGAGCCCCGCCGGAGAGGCTGGGCGGCCGCCGGTGACAGGTGAGTGCGCCAGCGCGTGTCCCGGAGCTCTCCCCCCTCCGCGATGGTCGCGTCCGGGCCCCCCGCGGTGCCGCGATGGGTTGTACCACCGTGCCCGCCGGGGGAACCGCGGCCCTCGAGCCCCCCCTTCCGGAGCTGAGTTGGGGTGGCCGAGCGGGGGCGGTGGGACTAGCCCCGGGGGAACGGGGGCGGTGGCGGCGGACCGTACCACTGAGGCGGCGGGGGGAGCGCCGCGAGTGTGTGGGGCAGGGAGTGTAGGCCCCAGCGTGTGCGGGTCGGGGGCTGGACCTGCGGGCCGCGGCGGGGAGATGGAGCCTGGCGTGCGCGGGCTAAACATTCAAGGGGGCGCGCCGCATCAAGTGTAGAGGGCTGTACCTCTTTGGCGCTGTGGAAGCCGATTCTGTACTGTATTTACAGGGGTGGGGGCTTCTGGGGAGGAGGCTGTACCAAGTGGCTGGGTTATATCACCACAGCGCTGGGGGAGCCCCGCTTGGAACGTAGGGGAACCCAAATCAGAGGGCTGTGATGTTTGTGATCTTTGAGGGACTGGGAGAGGGTGGGACGGGCGCGTGGGTTTTAGGGGCGCGTTTTGGGAGGACTGTTGTGCCTAGTGGTGAGGAGGGGTTTCTCCTTCCTGTATTTGACGTGTGTGGGGTTGGGGGTTTACACTGAACTCAGCCTTCATTGAACTTCTTGATGACTTTGGAGAGAACGGCGTGGTTACTGGGGTGCTTTGGACCATGGAGTGCTCTGCTTGCATTACCCTCTCAGATTATTCACCAGGCAATAACAGTTCTTTCTTTCCATGATGGAGAGAGGAAAGATGTGTTAGAAGTCACTGAAGTTGTCTGAGCTTTAGGCTCTACATTTGGAAGAGGAAGAGGGATTGGGCTTGGATTTGAGGAGCCGTGCCCCTGGACCAGCTTGTTAAGACTTGGGAGGAAGCAGTGTTTGGGGGAACACCTCTTTCCCCCGGGGCAAGTTTTCTAGGGGCATCTTGATCTTAGGATTGTTTGGACCTCTTCCTCTCCTTTGGAGACCTCTTGGGGCTCAGCAAGACGCGTGGGCTGGAGTAACTAGGGCCTCCAATGGGCTGCTTTTCAACCTCATCTACTCCTCCCCTCCCAGAGAAGCAGCAGGAGTTCAGTTGGGGCTGACCTTGGTTGGCAGTGGGTGTGAAGGGTCCAGGAACCAACACAGACCACTGCATGCTCCTCCGTCGCTGGCCACGAAGCCGTTTGTGTCTCCGAGTTACCAGCTCAGTCACACATCGTGTTTACACTCCCCACCAAGGCAATAACAGTTGGCCTTGCAGTGAGGCCGAGAGCTGTTTTCCCAGCTGTTCCTCTTTGCATAGACCAAGGGGACTTGGAGGGGGGTGCCCCTGGCCCAGCCTGCCCCATCCTGGCCCAGGGAGGAAGGCTGCTCTGAAGGTCTTGGGACAATCAGGTCTCCCATGGATCTGGTGTCTTACTGTGGTCTGTGGGCTGGTACTGGAAGCAGCCAGCTCCAGAGGTCTATGGCCAGTGTCCCTGCTCCCTAGGCCAGATCATGACCTTGGCTTGCCCTGTAGCCTTTGCTCTGGGTCTGGAGTTCCCGGAGGACTGGCTGCAGTCCCTCATTGACCCAGCAGACCTGGGCTGGTGATATGGTCGAAGGGCCAGACGGTTGCCCCCGGTCAGCAGCAGTGACTTCCAAGCTGACTGGCTTCCATGGCTCGTGGTTCCTGGAGAGAAAGGTCCCACAGTTTGTAAGGCAGTGGGGGGCTCTGTAGAATTTTTCTCCATTAGGGGTTTGTTCCTCTGGTCCTCTCCTTCTGCCATCTTTTAGAGAGTTTACCTGATGGGGCTAAGAGCAGCAGTGAAAACAGTAATCATGAAATTGGCTGATAGTAACTGTGCATTCTGTGGGCCACACACCATTTGGAATGCTTCATATCGATAAACTTGCTGAATACTTTAATTCTAGAGCAGTAGGCGCGTTGTTATGCTCCCCCTTTTAGATGAGAAAACAGTGCCTCAGAGAGGCAAAGCATTTCCAGAGCTAGTGGATGCCCACTGTTTATAGCATTCACCCTATGCCAGGCCTGTGACAGGCCTTTTGCACATGTGACCTCACTGAAGTCTCAAAACACACCTGTGGTTAGGCCCGTTTTATGGAGACCTATGAGCTACTCTGATACCATTTTACAGATGAGGAGTCATTTCACTCGCTGTGAAGTGCGAAGATGTCCCCAAGGTCTCATAGCTGAAGTGGTAGAGGTGTGATTGGCTTCAGCTCCTCTTGTCAAGGAGAAATTGGAGCAGTGGCTTTTGTCTGTGAGCATATACTCTGCCCAGCCCTCTGTGTGCGGCTTTATATGATGTTTGTGTCCTTTTTTTTGCAGAGTCCAAAATTGGAAGTTCAGAGGAAAAATTGCCTTCTAGGTCTTATCAGACCCTGTGGGGGCTGGGGTGGGATTTGAACCCAGGTCAGTGGGCCCCTAGTGCCATGCATTCCTTGCTCACCAGGTCCCAGGCTGGGTGAAAAGAAGGAAGGGCACAGGACAGAGGTGACTGTACCCCATGTCTTTCCTTTCACTCCTGAGCCTCAGGCTGCATTGAGCACCTCTGCCTACAGCCGGTCCAGCATTTCTTGGTGCCTCGTCAGAGTTGAGCCAGGGCATCCTTTAACCCTGGACAGATGTGTGCTGGGAGCAGAAGATAGCAAGAAAGCCATGCAGCGGGTGACACAGATTTCGGGGAGCTGCATTAGCCTGTGGCCAGATGGCAAAGTGGGTTCCAGCTGTGTGGCCTTGGACCACAGTGTTCACTCCCATACAGTGGTCTCAGAAGGACGTCCACCTCAGGCTGCTGTGAGGATTATGTGAATTACTCCATGAGAAGCTCCTAGAGTGGTGCCTGGCACTGTGTAAGTCTCGGTTGGCAGTCATGATTATGTTGTTATGGAACCAAGGCATCCAGCCTCCCCCACCTCCTGCCTTTGGTCCCCTTGAGCGTTCTGGGATTCAACTCCCCAGCCTGGTCCAGCTAGGATCCAGGACTTTGTTCTGGTTTCCAGTCTCTGTGAAGAGCTGCATGGAAGTGAGTCAGAGCACAGGGTTCGAATGCAGCCCTGCCACTCCATGGTGTGTGACCTTGAGCGGGCTCCCCAACCCTTCTGAGCTGATTCCATCATCAGTGTCATGGGGATGATGATAATTCCCACCTGATAGGATTGTTGTGAAGGTTGAGTAGACTAATTTGTGGGAAGCATTCATAACTGTGCTGGCATACAGTAAGCCTACCAGAAACGTCTCCTCACTAAGAAGAGTGCCCGACACATGGTGAGCCATCGGTATATCTTTGCAACTGTAATTCTTAATATTTCTGCCAGGACTTTGAAGGCCCTTGTGAGTCCACAGAACCATGTCAGAGAGCACTAGGAGGAGATCAGGGCCCAAATTAGCGTCTCAGTTTTCCCGATGCGGAAACAGAGGTCGGGGGGGGGACATACAATCAAGTCAGAACTGAGTGGGCTCCCAGGCCCATTCCTCTTGCACACAGTGGCTTTGTAGCCTGAGCCTTTCCCAGGTAGACACATTCAAGTCTTTTCAGAGGTCAGGCTCTGTGCTTTTGTTTTTAGTTTTGAGACAGGGCGTCACTCTGTCACCCAGGCAGGAGTGCAGCAGTGTGATCACAGCTCACTACAGGCTTGACCTCCTAGGCCCAAGTGATCTTTCCACCTCATCCTCTTGAGTAGCTGGGACTGCAGGTGCACATCACCACACCCATTTAATTTTTAATTTTTTTGTGGAAACAGGGTTCTCACTATGTTGCCCAGGCTGGTCTTGAACTCCTGGGCTCAAGCGATCCTCGTGCCTCAGTCTCCTGAGTAGCTGGGACTACAGGTGCATGCCACTGCCCTTGGTTCCCAGTCCACCACAGCTCTGGGAGTGGTAGGAAGGCTGTGCCTGGGCAGGGGGGCAGCAGAAATGCCTGCGGGAGTCAGCAGTAGCTATGCTTTGCAGGCCTGTGGGCCTGGGGGAGAGGTGAGGATTGATGCTGAGGGCATTATGGAGCTGAGGAAAAGGTTTCACTCATCCGCCACCATTTACTGAGCACCTCCTGTGTGCCAGCATTGCATCAGTACTGAGAATGCAGTAGTGTACTGCTCAAAGTCCCTATCCTCATGGGGCTGAGGGAGACCCACCTGAAGCAGGTGAATAAGCAAGGAGCTGGTTAGAGGGGAGGTGCTAGGCAGCGAATTCAAATCAGGTGATGACTGGGTGCTTCTTTAGATGCCGGCGGCCGAGGGGAGGGCCTGTGAGCTGATCCCAGTTTGGCAAGGTGAGGCAATCATGTGGGGTGGGAGGAGAAGGAACAGCCCTCCAGGTGGAGGGAACCACAGTGCAAAGGTCTGAAGGGAGGACAGAGCTTGGTGAGGTGCAGGGACAAACCTCATAGAGTACTGTGTGGCTTGGTGGAGTGAGGGAGCAGGGAGGAGAGCAGACCAGGGCTGTGGGCCTGGCAGGGCCTGTCACTGTCTGAGAAGGAGCTTGGCGTTGCAGCAGGAGCAGCCTGGTCAGATTTAGGGTCTTAGCAAGTGACACAGGAGAGAGTCACAGGCTCCTGCCTGGGGATGTGGGGAGATTTGACTGAGCCGAGCAGGGTGTTCACAGGCCTCCCACTTCCCCTCGAGTAGCGTCACTGCCTTGGAGCCAGCAAAGGCCCAAGGGTTGCCTCCCTTGCTGTGGTTTTCACACCGTGTTCCCCAGAGCCCGTGGCTGTTACTTTTAGGGAGAGAGGCGAGGAGGCTCAGTGGGCCGATTTTTCTGCCCATCCCTCCCCACCCCAACCAACTGGACTAATACCGAATAGCAACGCAGAGCAGCAGTCCACATCTGATACAGACAGCACCCACTGACCCTGCTTCCACGCCGCTGTGGGCCTGCAGGCCTGCGCCATTCCTGGTGCTCCTGGAATTGGAAAGACCAGGTCTTGTGACTGACACCCAGCAGACATGTCTCTGGTGGGCATCAGGTGTGGTTGATGCTACGAAGGCAAAATAAATGCGGGCCAGGTGAGAGTGTGGCCATGTTTCTCCACTGTAGCTGGGTGATCAGGGACGACCTCCCTGAGAAGGTGACTTGTGGGCAGGGACTGATGGAGTGCTGTGAGGGAGCCATGGGAGGATGTGGGTGAAGACTCGTTTGACCCAGGAGGAATCTCCTCTGATTCCCACTTTACAGTGGTGAGACCTGGAGAGCCTCTGTAGCTTGTGCTGGGTCCCCCAACCAGGAAGTGTTGGGAACAGGCTATGAATCTGGGCCTCCAGAGATTCCTCCAGCACAGCTCAGTAGCCCCTGGTGCATGTGACTTCTGATCCCATGCATGGCCTCATCCCTAAGGCTTATCTTCATTTTTAAATTTGTTGTGGAGCTGGGAGACTCACTCTGTGGCTCCGGCTGGTCTTATCTTGCAGGAGCAGGTGCCGTGGCATTTGTTTTTTGAGATGTGTTCCAGGGTATCTTCCTAGAAGGAGCAGATCCCCTCAGAACAAACCTCTAGGGTCTCCAGAAGCCCCCTGGGATGGGTTGGGATGGAAAGGAATGTCTTTCAGGCTTGAGCTCTGAGCCCCTGGAGGGCCCAGGGACACCCCTTCCTGGGCCTCTCTTCAGCTTCCCAGAGCTCTCAGCGGAAGGCCCTCAACCACAGGCCTCCGGGCCGCACGGTGGGGTGGTTCCATGGCAGGCTCTTCTGGACAGCCAGCCAAGCAGCAAGAGGCCCAGCTAGGGGAGACAGCCTGGGAGCGGGACCAGGAGGGAGGGAGCGCGCGTGGGAGGGGTGCTGGGTGGGAGCGCAGCCTGGCCCCCTTGGGGCAGGACCCACTGCCAACTCGGCACCCACAACAGGGCCCGGGTGCTCTGAGTGTGCCCAGCAAGGGACTGCAAGCCGGGCCAGCCAAGAGGACAATGCATGTCAGAGGTCCCCGCAGGAGTTTCTCCAGCCCAGCTGTCCTGCTGAAGAAGCTCGTCGGCAGATGTTGTTTCTAAGGGTGAGGCCAGAAACCTAAGCCTTCCTTGGTTTGCCCCCTTGTGGGCCCTTTCCGAACGGGCTGGGGCAGCTCCTGCTCCCCAGTTCTCCTCTCCAGCCTGGCTTCGAGTTCTTCATGATCTGGTGGGTCATTGGCGTCCCCTTACTCAGCTAGGGCTGCTGAGTGACCTGGTCCCAGGGACAGCTGACGTGGGTGAGGACCCTGCTCCTGGCACCCCTCTTTGTCGCCGTGGAACCCTGGGGCTTGATTTCATCTCCCTAACATGAGGGTGGGAGGCTCAGCTGTAAATGGGAACCTTCCTGCTGAGTGGGGCAGTCGGAGGGTGCCGGGAGCTGCTGTGTTGGAAAGTGCAGGTCTCCTGAGGAGGTGCGGGATGAATTTGGGCCAGTGCTGCTGGTGGGGATTGCCAGACAGGACTGACTCACCTGAGAGCACAGAAGAGGCTCTGCGGGGCAGCTGGCACGGGCTTGTCCTTGGTCCTTGGGAGAGAGTGGTGGGGCCTGATAGCTGATGAGAGGGTTCTGAACAGGAGTATGAATTATTCCCACTGCCGCACTCCTGCCCAGCCGGACACTGTTCTTTAGCTCTGCACACCTGCGCGGCAGCCTGGAGCTGGGCAGTGTTAGCACCCCACCTCGTAGATAGGAAACAGGTACGGGAAGCCACGTAGAATGTCCAGTCGTTGTCGTGAGCAGTTTTCCTCTCTGTGCTGGATCTGCTGCACAGTTTAAGGTGTCTGCTCTCATTTGTCCTCACCAAAGCCTGGAAGCTCACTGTCACAATTATCCCCATTTTACAGGGCAGGAAACAGGTATAGGGAGGTTATTGGATTTGTCTGAGGTCAGTAATAGGCAGGACAGTTGAACCCTGCTCTGTTGGCGAAGCTGCCTTTTGAAGACTGCCTCGTCTCCTTGCCCTGCCCACTGTGATTGGGGTTGTTGCTGGGGTCATCATGGTTTCGTTCCCACTTTCTCTTCTTTTAGACAGCTGGCACAAAGTAGGCCTCAGCCATCCAGAAATGACTCCATTCCATGCCTGCTCAGGAGGTGGGGTGTGGCTGCTTCTCTCCACCCCCAATACCATGACCTTGGCCCTTCCTTTTCCCAGAGCCCAGGGGGAAGAGATGAGGGTGGGAGGCATCCCCTCCCGGCTGCCGTGGGGTCTGATTGCCAAACAGCCTCAGGAAGCAGCCCTTGGCTGTTCTTGGTCGTTTGTGTATTCCATCTGTCAACAAATACTGCTTGAGTCACTACTGTCTGCCACGTGTAGTTCTGGATGGGGTCGGTCACAGGAGGCAGAGAAGTTGCATTTGCCTGTGAGTGCTTGTTGTGGTTGAAGGAGGGAACAGAGATCAACTGGACCTGGTGGGAGAGGGGCTTGGGAAGGCTGCTGAGGAGCCCTTATGACGTGACAGCCCGAGGAGGTGGGCTAGGAGGGTAATATCTGGGTGTGCTGGTGGAACAGCAGGCCCGTGTGACTGGAGCTGGGGGAGTGGATGAGGGGGACAGAGCAGAGTGGCAGGGCTCAGGGCCTGGGCTGGGTGGGGAGCCAGGGCTTTATCCCCAAAGAGGAGGGACACAGGTGGGTGGGGAGGGACCTGTGTGGGAGAGAGCTGGTCAGATTCAGGTGCTGCCAGGGATGGAGAAAGCAGACCATATTCTGCTTTGGAGACAGGATCCCCTGTGGCCCAGCTTCTCAAACTGGTGTCCAAAGGCCTTGGGAGGTGGGCAGAGGTGTCTGTAGGGTGTTGACTTTTTTTTAGCTGTGTGTTTTCATTTAGACGATATTTTCAGAAAGTTAATAGGGGGATTTTGGACATAGGATGATTCCTTTAGAACCAAGTGGTGACAGCAGTAACATTAGCTTGCTACTCTATGGCTCTGACAGGCTCAGGACGGTCCCTGACTTCAGAGTTCTTTAGGTAATTGGCACCTATTTTTCAAGCACTGGTCCTGTCCCCAGCTGTGTGTGAGGCCATCTCATTGGGTCCTCAGGACAACTGATGGTTATCAGAAAACTTATCTTTTTTTATTTTTCATTTTTTTGTGAGACAGGGTCTGGCTCTGTCACCCAGGCTGGAGTGCAGTGGTGCCATCTTGGCTTATTGCCGCCTCCACCTCGTGGGTTCAAGTGATCTTCCCACCTCAGCCTCCTGAGTAGCTGGGACTGCAGGCACGGACCATCACACCTGGCTAATCTTTAAAAACAAATTTTAGTAGAGACGGGGTCTCCCTGTTCTGCTCAGGCTGATCTTGAACTTTTGGGCTCAAGTGATCCATCTGCCTCAGCCTCTCAAAGTGCTGGGATTACAGGCATGAGTCACTGCACCTGGCCTACAAAAATTCTTTTGAGATAACATAAGCATGTGCTTCAGCAGATTGGTGTTAAGATTCCATTCTACAGGCCGGGCGCGGTGGCTCATGCCTGTAATCCCTGCACTTTGGGAGGCTGAGGCGGGTGGATCACGAGGTCAAGAGATGGAGACCATCCTGGCCAATGTGGGGAAACCCTGTCTCTACTAAAATACAAAAATTACCTGGGTGTGGTGGCACAAGCCTGTAGTCCCAGCTACTCAGTAGGCTGAGGGAGGAGAATCACTCGAACCCGGGAGGCGGAGGTAGCAGTGAGCAGAGATTGATCCACTTCACTCCAGCCTGGCAACAGAGCGAGACTCCGTCTCAAAAAAAAAAAAAAAAAAAATCAAAGATTCTGTTCTCCAGATGAGGAAGCTGAGATTCAGAGAAGTGACCTGTGTAGCCTGGAAGTGGTAGAGTCAGGATTTGAGTTGACTAGAGGTGTGAGTTTGGGTCTGATTTTTTTTGGGCCTGATCCTGCTCCAATTCCCCAGGTAAGCTGCGCTGGGATGCGGGAGAGATGGGGTGTAGCACGCGAGCGTCCAGCCAGGCTGGGATGATCCCACTCCTCTTGGGCCTGTGAGAGTCACACCCCTGCTTCCTGCCTTTAGGCTCCCAGTGCTAGTTAGCAGGGATTCCATAGAATTGCACTCCAAAATGGTAGCTACTAGTCTTGTATAGCTTTTAAATTTTTAATTAATTGCAATTAAATAAAAGTAAAAAGTCAGTTCTTCAGTTACTAATCGTTTGAACTAGCCATTGTTCAAATGTTCAGTAACCACATTTCTGTTGTCACAGAAAGGTCTGTGGGTCAGTTCTAGTCTGGTCTCGGCTCCTCTCCTGCACCCACTGGCTGTGACTGGGCCTCAGTTTTTCCATGTGAGGAATGGGGATAGTAACAGGCTGGCGCTTTGCGAGTGCTTGCTGAGTATTAGTCACGATGCAGACCCACTGGTTTCTCCTCCTACCACCCGGCCCTGTCCTGGAGCTCCCAGGGAGGTGCAGGGGTCAGGGATGTCCCACGGAGCCCGACTGGAGGGGTCCCACGCATGTGTGCACATCAGGGATGGTGAGGGAGGGCTGGCTCGAGTGTTGGAAGAGGCAATACAAGATGGGAGGTGGCTCTTTCTCTTGTGGGGAAAGGCAGAGGGAGGTGGAGGCAGCTCAGGGCTCAGAGGACGGGGATCTGGGCTCCGTGGCTCCCACCCTGCCATCTCTCGCTGTGGGTATTCACTGAATCTCTGCCATCCTTGGTTTTCTCATCTGCCGCATGCAAGTCCTCATGGTTCTCAAGTGAGGTGCGTGTCGAGCCCATCAGGCCAGTGCCCAGGGCTTATTCTGGGGACAGCTCCTGGAGAGGAAGTCTGCCTCCCTGAGGAGTCCTGCCCTGCTCTGGGCGCAAGGGGTTCCACCTGCTGCCCCTCCCCCATACCCAGCTTGCCTCAGGCGGACAGTTCCCTTCTCACTCCAAGTAAGAGCCACAGTGCTGACAGTGGCCCCCAAGGCCCTGCCCAGCGGTCCCCAGCTTCCTCTCTAGCCACATCTCCCGGCCCTCCCCTTCACCAGCTCCTGAGGGCGCCTCCAGCACGCCTCAGCCCTGTCCCCCCAACTGCCTGCAGTGTTCCTCCCTAGTCTCCACCTGGCTCTTTCACCTGCTTCTGGGTTTGCTCAGACCTCGCTGTCTCCTCCTCTCACCATCCTGTGTAAAATCAGAAACCCCTGCTGCCTTTCCCGTGCGCTGAATCTTCCGTGTGCTGCTTTTCTCCATGACATTTGTCAGCTTTGGATACCCTGTCTAATTTGCTTATATGTTTGTTTTTACTTTGCTGCCTGTTCCCTTGTCCCCTCGACTCCCCAATGGCTGTTTTGGTCACTGCTGAATCCCTGGTAACCCGAGCAGTGATGACACAGAGTTGGTATGATATTTGTGGAATGCATGCATGTAGGATTTTTTTTGCCTTCACTTGGCACAAATGCTGTGGTTCTGTTCGACACTACCCCCTGGAATTAATGAAAGCAGCGGGCCCATCCCTGTGCTGAGTGGAGCTGGACACAGTGGGGGCTAGGACAGACTGGGTCCCTGCCTTGTGGAACTCACAGTCCAGTGGGAGAGGTGACATTACCCACATAGTCATGCAGGTGACAGAGAGGTGCTGTGAGGGGAAGGGAAGGCTGAATTCTGAGGGTCAGCTGCTTGTGGAGGCGGGGGAGGTCAGGGAAGGCCTCCCTGAGGAAGATGGGTGAACAGAGTGCCAGGCAGGGGGTATAGCATATGCAGAGATCCTGGGGTGGGAGAGTACGGAGTCTTCACAGGGCCAGGAGAAGGGGAGATTGTATGTTGGTGTGAGCAGACCAGCAAGGCTGGAGAGCAGGCAGGGCCATGGCAGATGGGCCCTGGCAGCCTCCATTAGGGCCTTGGGCGTGATCCATGAGCACTGGGGAGAAGTCCCGACCTGGGGAGGGACAGGGTCAGAGCTGTGTGTGGAGGATCCTGCTGGCCACGGCATGGCGCTTTCGGAATGTTGGAGCCCGTGGCCAGGCAGCCTAGAATACTGACAGAATAGGTTTCTGTGGGTGCTGTAAGGCCCTGGCTGGCATGAGGGGGAAGGTGTGGGGGGCAGGGAGGAGAAGGAATCTGCTCTGTGC